GAAAAAGTCTCTCACTGCTCCATGGTCCTTTTGAAATATTTTCAACATCTTTTTAAACAGTAGCAGAACCATAATAAACGTCTATATGTACTGTATTTTAGACAATTTTTATACCAATGAAGCAAATTTTTAGATACAGTTCAAACAAGTACTGAGTCGGCCATGTAGCGCAGTTGTTAGAGCGTCTGCTCCAGAGTCGTGAAGTAAGGAGTTGATCGATCCTTACGTCGCTGGTTCAAATACCGCTGTGGGACGCGGGGACTGGTCATTCGGATGAGACTGTATAAACCGAGGTCCCGTGTCGTCGTAGGTGCTGGCACGAAAAAAGATCCCTCCCTGCTCAATTGCTCTGAATGCCGAGTATAGGAAAAAAATTGCAGCTTTCCAATGCAAGTGCTAGGCGTCTCCATATGAGTGAAAAATTCTCGAGAGGGACGTTAAACAACATACAATCAATCAGTCAATTAAACAAGTACTAACTTTTTATAATAAAATTCAAATGACATAAATCATTATAATATTAAACGTATACAAGCCAATTTCAATATTATAGAAAAAGGCATCAATATCAAAAGCTGACCAGGAGTACTACCCTCCCCTAATTTATTCCAAGTCATTTACCTTGGAAATGTAGTCCAAGGCATCTCATCCAAATGTACTTCATATAAGTATGAAGATATTAAGGTATGTCACTCGTGAACTTTTTTAAATCAAGGATTGTTTAATAAGTATATTTTTGATAAGTACTCATACAGTATGACTCAAAATCGCAGAGAAAATAGGGGGTCAGTGTGCGTTTTTCTGAGCTAGGGTACAATTAAGTTGACCTTTTTGCACTTAAATTTTAATTCTTTGGTTAATTACTTTAACCTTTATTATATTTTATCAGATGTACCATGGCAATAAATATAATCTTATTTTACGTAAAATGGTTTCAATAATATTTAGTGTATTTATGTATATAAAGGAATTTATGTGATCTAAATACGTAATAAATTGCATATTTTTATTAATTAGCAATTTGTTTGAATTTATGGGTCCCGAAGGGTTTTTCCGGGTTTTATACCTAAGCGTCCTCTAGTAACGGCTATTAGCCTTATCCTTATCAGAATAACATTTCGGCTCCAAAATGTGGTTTACAAATTTTACCCACCACCACCCCTTCAATCCTCCATAATTATTGTTATTGTAGAAAATACATGTACTAGTTTCTTTTATATAAGGTGCCTTTGTTATTGCATAACTTTTGTTATTGTAGAAAATAGATGTAATAGTTTCTTTTGTTTAAGGTACTTACTGTTAAATTTGTAGAATATATATGTACTAGTTTTCTTTTGTATAAGGTGTGGGATGTTTTTTGGGCCCCACCTTCTGCTGCATTCTGAAATTGTAAAATCTGTAATCTCATTTGGCATTTGTAATAAATACTCTATACACACACACACACACCCTCTTTATTATTTAACATGCTGCAGAACAGAGCTGCAAATGTGCTTCAGGTTCACATGAACCGAATTGTTCATCATCAGTTTCAGTATTTAAGAGCACATAATCATTGAAAAAATTTTGCAAAGTAATGCGCGTAATTTTTTATGTGACCTTTTTGCACTAAAAAGTAACATTTGGGGTATCAAAAACTAAAAAGCAATAAAACATTTTCTCATATCAAACTTTTTACAGCTTAAGTACTGATCAGTCACAAGTATTGAGTAGTTTAAAATAATGAAAGAAAAAGTTGGGGTCAGTGATGTTAATTTTGAAATATTGGTCAAACTATGTTATTTTCAGGCGAAAAATGGTGTAAATTTTACCATGACTTCTTTAACATATCTTCATATTTTGGCAAAGTTTGTTGAGGGAAGGTGTAAAACTTGTTCTAAAAATATAAATTAAGACCTATATTAAATATTACTAGCAATATCCTAATGGAAATGTTCTCCGAGTAAAAATATGTGCGGCTAAAGTTCCACGATGTTAAATTTAATAAATGTGCAGATTTGCAGAATTTTCTGCTAAATATCCTTCCACCACAAAAAGTAGTCCCTCATAAATCTGGCTTCTTTGCAGATTTTTGAGCATTTTTTTTTCGTTGACTGTTAAAAAATTTACATTGTTGAATTTTAAAATGTCAAAAAAATTGAATTTTAATAAATAGTTTTGAAGTAAGAGGTTCTGCGTGAACTTTTCTATAAAGTTGACGAGTGACATACCTTAAGTTCCTTTTAACATTTGGAACTGAACTCTGGATTATATTCGAAATGTATTATTTTGCATATCCGTAAAGTGCATCTACGGGTATTATAAAATGCCTAAAATATATATATAATGATCAGAGGGATAGGTATACTTTACCTGACGGCCATTGTTTGGAAAATTAGGTCTGTGATAAGAAATCATTTTTAGACATAGTGCATTTATCAGCATGATTTGTTTTCAAAGAGTGTGTATTTTTGTACTCTGTTCTGCTTTTATAACTGAAGGGAAATTGGAAAATGAAGAATGGAAAATTCATATGGAAGAGAAAATGGAGGAAATGTTCCTATTGATATATAGAGAGACAAAATGCCGTCATTGAGAAACAATCTATAGAAATAAAAAATCTAAAAAGCAAAGTCCATTTCCTTGAGAGTAAATCTGGATTGGGTATAGTGGAGTTTTCGATGGGCCTAAGTTAATAACAACAAGATCAATAAAACCGAGGGGAATGTCGGAAATGTGGATGTTAAGAGACCAATGCATGACGCCGGTAGAGTTTCTATTTCATTTTTCTTCACATGGTGAAAGCCAATGAATATTCAAAGATTAAAGTTATTTAGATATTTTCCTTTTGAGACATACATTCAGGCTTCAAAATTTTATTTATCATATTATATTAAAACAAACTATCAAACTAGACGACAATATCATCTATATGGGCTGACAATGAACTCGGATAAGACACGTACCTGATCCTAGTCAAGAATGTAAGACTATTTTAAAACGGTGTTTATTGGAAAGGGGTGCATTGAACAACATAAACTCCCGGAAGGGGGATTTAGTAATATGAGGGTTTTAATAACATCCCTACTAATGTGTTCGGAACCTTTTATTTTTCAATGAATATTTAAAATTAAAGTTACCTAATTTTTGTATATTTTCCTAGACTTCAGCGAGATAGGGTTTTAAATTATTCATGGAAATGGGGCTAGGAAGTGACTAGCACGTGGAGACATCGTAAACAGAAAAGTTATGTTGCGTTTCAGTTTTTACCACCCTAGAATCAGCTGATAATGTCTGTAGAAATGTACTTCAATCAATCGATATCTCTTACATTCATTCAAACTTAACTAAGTATTCTCTATAATACAATTTTCTGCAGTCATGAATTAAAATTTCTTTTTGGAAAAAATATTTTTATGGGATTTTATCCAAATGTAGACTATATTATTTTGGCGTAAAAGTTAGCAAATGAGGCACCAACATGATTTTAACTGTAAAAGCAGCTGAATGAGTATTGCATTATGGGTTACTACGAAAACTACAGGAATTTTACGCTTTAAAAAAAGGGGAAATCTTATTGTAAATAAAAAAAGCATTTTTAAAAAAATTGATGTTAATGCTCATAATGACAAACTATTTTTTTGTTCAATAACGGTGGAAGTCTAGGTTTCTGAACAGTCATATGCAAAAGCGATTTGCATCTGTGTTCATTCCTTTGTTGTACTATCGGTGCAATCGCAGCTTCTCGGGCTTTTCCGACTAGCGGAAAAACGACCTCGAATGTATATGGTAGACGCCATGACAACCCCTCACGGGACACGATCTTTGAAATCAATGCATGGAGACCTTTCATCTGTGGAATATGGAGTTTAACTTTATTCAATGTAATGATATTACCTAAAATATACTATAGAAGGGACTTCTAACTCCTTCTATCCTATATTTGAATAAACAGGAAATGTATAAATTTTTAACACACATGTTAATACATTCAGGTTGTTTTCGTGACCTGCAACCTAAGTTCCGAGATGATGCGATTGCTATCGGTGAATACAATTGCCAGGTGGATTCCCTGGCCAAACACGTGTCACGAACGTAAAAAAAGTTTTGTCCATTTAAACGCGTAATAGATGCTGCCCGTTTTCCTTACCCTTGAAGCGCTGGTGTTCTGAACTAGACATAACTACATTTTATTAAACATTTTTTCCAGTAAACAATAAATTAAAAACGCCCGTAACATCTTTAATAGTTTCTTATCTTTATATTTTGTTATTAAGATTTTTTTTTATAAATTTTGTATTCCATTGACATGATCATAGATTGACCTGAACCACGTGTTCGAAGTAAAATGTACATGCATGTAAACATGTATTTGACGTAAACGTTGCTATTCATTCCAACAATTAAATGTCAGTTCTGTGGTAAGATCCTCTGTACGCATTTATAACAATAGCCATATAAGACAAACAAAGTTTGATAAAACACATTTTTTACCAGCGAATCGGTCAATATTGAGCTCTTATTTTCGCCAAAAAGTATAAGATATATTGTTATTTTAACACCCCCTCCTTTAGCCAACCCCTTTCTGTTGAAAATCATGAAAGTCTTTCAGAAAGATCTGGAAACATTTATTACAGGACAAGTTTTCAAAAGAAACAGGCTATAGCAATATATGTATTTGATTAACTATATATTTTTATTCATAAACCTTCTTGTATATGCATTATAACCTATGAATAGATTAACCTAAGCCACGTGTCTTGAATTTAAATCACAATAACATTAGTAGGGTGAATAAGTCGGACACATTTTTCGCAAAGTAATCCTTAATATCCGTAAAGAAAAATTAATCTCGTGTTACATGTTAAATTCAATTTTATCCAAATAGAGGTAATTATTCATCTGTAAAAGTTTGTCACTTGTTACATATGTGCTTGACTTTTTCTGTATTATTATACATGTACTGTAAAAAAGACTGATCGCGAGACGTTTAAGAAAAATATTTTAATTTGAAGTGCTCTCTGGGCACATTCATTTCATTCATGAAAATATATGAAATTAATAATAAACATTGATTTAATAAAAAAAATGAGAAACATGTGTTTTTTTTCATTATGTCAAATAACATAAATTTATTTATCACATATTATATTATTACAATTAATATGCACCTCTTCCAACTGTACAAAAAAATTTGCAAAAAGAATACTCTGTTCTACCTAAAAAGAAAGGGGGGGTTATTGGCTAAGAGTGTTACAGAATGACCTCACGGGACAGCGGGTTGATGTTCAATGGCCAAATTTTGGTTGGAACATTAAAATATTTATTGTCTGACTTCGAGGGCATTATGAGTGTGGTCAGGATAATTGACCCAAACTGTTTGCATGAGTCCGTTAAGCTGAAAGCAGACATTTTACTTCTGTATTTACATGTAAATTCACCTGTTGCCTTCGAAGTCAGTCAATAAATGTTTTGCAATACTTTTCATTTTAATATTTTTTGACATACATGTATCTTGTACTGTCTTGCGTGATATAACGTAAGTTCCGTTACTGTTGAACAGCAACAATGCGAATGCACAATTGTGTGACGTAAATTAAGCCTTTATTTTGAACGATATAACTGTATAAAATATTGTGCTGAAAAATTCGATGTTTTAAATTTGATATGTTTTCAATGCTGGAAAAGAAACATTTTGCATTATAAAATTGAATAAGTATATGAATTTTCTTTGATTTATCGGTAATGAACATGTGTACGCTGTTCTACAAAAATCTAATGATTCAACACTTTAGAACTTTTGGAATTTCAACTTTCTATTACAGAAACCAAAAGGAACCCAATACGAAGATTCCTTTCACCAGGTTCGGCTGAAGGTCATGTAGCCTTCTATGCTTATATATCAAAAGACTTCGGTGGAGTTGGTGTTGATCACGTTTTTCTCTATGATACTGTGGTTACGAATTACGGGAACGCGTACAACAAACACACCGGAGCTTTCATGGCGCCCGCCACGGGAGTGTATGCATTTTCCTACACCATCTTTGCTGCCGGTGAACATGTTGCTGGCGAGACTGGAGATTACGGTGAAGTGTCTGTCAAACTAGTTCGTAATGGTGTGTATAAAGGTTCCATTTATGTTGACACTGAGACGGAATGGGAAGAAGAAATGTCAACGGGATTTGCCATCCTCATGTTGCAAGCTGGAGACGTAGTATTGACGAAGACAACACATACAGGAGAAGGTTCTTTTCACAGCAACGAGTCCGGAAGATGGTCCTTTGCAAGGTTTCAGATAGCTTAAACAATATATTATATTATGAATATTATTAAACTTTCATGAAAATGACTCTTCTTTTAGTTTGCTTCGAGGTAGAGAGACCCAGTTTTAATTCTCGTTCTAAGCGCCGCGGGAATCTTATGACGTAAACAAACGTAGTGACTGTTCCTTCGCCAAGCTCCCGTAACGATCAAAGAACTGATCATAACTGAAAACAGAGTCAAAATAAACGTACTTCATGTTTGATTTTCACAAATTTTATTACTGCTGCGCATTGAGAGAAATTTTTGGTTTAGAGTTTTGATACCAACTTTTTTTCGTTATTAAGATACTAAAACAAAGCTATGAAAAATATATCTTCACGTTTTTCATTCACTTTGAATTAGAAAATTCAATAATTGCTAAGTGAAGAAATCTTATTGAATTGTCCGATTTCACCGGGTTCGAATTAATATATTTCCGGAAGTAAACAATCGATGATGCATTCGCAGTCGTAATACTACGCAGGAGTGTAGTTTGTTTACTAGTGTGATATACAATTAACATTTTCAGTTTGACATTTTCAAAATGCTACATTATATGAGTAAAAAAATGTTCATATCACTTTTTTCAGTTTGATCCAGAATGGATGTATTTTGATCAAAACAATTTCTGCACTCTTTAATTTAGCATATTAGATCTAATTCATGTGTTCTCCCCACGGCTTCCGTTATGAGGCCTCTGACAGTAAAGTAAAAGACGGGGTCACGTGACCAAAAATGAAATTCACAGGTCTTTCAGATGAGAACTAAAAAAACTTAGAATCCGTGTCATTGTAGGCGTTGATAAAATAAACAACTTTCGCTGCTTGATGGTCCTCGGCGCTGGTTAAAAAGGTCTTAATTTGAAGCTCTTTACAGATACTCTAAACAACTATTATTCGCGTCATGTTTTATTCGTCATTCGTCAAATTGAATTTATTCGAGACGAATAATTTTTGCAACTGAGAAAACATTCTCTACAATGCAAAGCATAATAAATTATTCGCGAGATAAAACGGATGATTCCTTATTAAAAGCTCTATTTGCTAACAGGGTTATTTAAACGATTATATAGTTTAAAACTCTGAAACATCAATTAATATCTCAGTAGGTTTATTTCAAAAACGAAGAAATCCAAGGCATGCTTCTGAGTATCGAATTATTTTGGAAACATAAAAACCATATGAAGGTGATGTTGGAATATGAAACATATAGAGATAACGAACAGTATTTCAGATCAAAAATCCATAAAATAATACAAAATAGGAGCAGAGCAAACACAGACCTCCAAAACATCAGAGGTGGGGTTGGGTGCCATGGAGGAGTGAGCATCCCCTGCCGACCGGTCACACGAACAAAAACGGAAAAATCCGTCTTCAATTCAGTGTATAAATAATGGATTAACAATTAGTATGAAAAATGTCAGTCAGCATTTGACTCAATGATAAATTGTATTTGCTGACAAGGTCATTGTATCGACCATAGAACTTACGAAATGATGACTTTAAACGAGCCGCTGAAATTCTTGTTTCGTCAACTTGTTGGTCAATAATTTACCTCGTTGCAGAAATTGTTCATACGTAGAGCATGCTTTTGCGTATCTAATCAACTGAGATATGTTAACTCTGTATGCGGGTTATTGCTGCATAAGTAAGGGAAGTTGATGATAGAAAAGTTAAAGTCATCACGTTTATCATAGAGCTTGGTCGCTAGATTACCATTAACGTCTTTTTTCAAGTAAAATATCTAAATATGGAACAGATGTGTCAGACTCTGTGGCATCTTTTATCTCAAGCTCACCAGAATATATCGTATTGGTCAACAGAAAAATAGAAATTACCAATTGTTAATTGACAGTATGTCGTCGATATATCTAAATGTCGAGTTGAAGGCCACAGCAAGTGTTTTCTATTTTTCACGCATAAGATTTTGCACAAATTCTGCTTATGTGAATACAAAAATAGGCCTGCTGATAACGGGGCGCAATTGGTACGCATGGGAATTATAATAGATTGTTGGAAGACCTGGTTTCCAAAAACAACATAGATATTATCAGTCAGAAACTCAAGCATCTTTGTGATGTCAACTTCAGAGTATTCGTGTGTACAATCAGAATGCAGAATAATATAACATTATAAAAAGGTGAAATTCAGCAACTGAAAAATTGAAGTCATCCCATTTGTCACATTGTTTAGGTATTAGTTGATAATAATCATTTATTCATGTATAGTAAGTAAAAATCCGAATATGAAACGGATTTGTACACTCTGTTGGACTTCATAAGGATGTCCATTCCCCCAAGGCACCTGATCCTACATCTTGAATTTACACAGAGTGATGATTTATCTTATGCCCTAAATTTGGATTTTTATTGTTTCATAGTTTCTTGCCCTTTTATTTATATATAGATCCATGAGTGGTCATTCAATACTTGTATTTCATTTAGAGATAAAACAGTTAGGTTATTTTATATTAACTGAATCATCTGTTTTTAAGAAGTTTGCTAAGAAGTTTGGGGGGAAAGGGGTTTCAGGAGTAGACTCAAAGAAATTTTTTATTACATGATTTTATTCATTTCAAATTTTTAATATTTTTTTGTAAAACAATTCACATACTGTTCTCCTTTTGTCAGTAAACAGATGAAGGGACCTCAATATGTTGCAACGCTTATATGAATTCGTATCGGTTACATGTTCCGGAAAGTGCATTATATATTTATATACTAGTATTTGAATTATTCAGTGAAAAGGATCCATAAGATAGCGTCAGCTTTGTATTAAAATTGACAGTAAGGACTGGAACATTTCTAGTCGATTACATTATAACAACATGTGTTTTCTTCAAAGAATGTTTATTTTTGCGCTCTGTTCTGTTTTTGCAACGGAAGGAAGGCTGAAAAATGAAGAATGGAAAATTCATATGGAACAAAAACTGGAGGATATCCTATTATTGATAGAAAAACAAAATGTCGTCATTGAAGAGCAATCTAGAGAAATAAAACAACTTAAAAGCAAGGTCCTGTTACTCGAGAGCAAGATAGATTTGGCATCTACAAACAACAAAACGGAAAATTTCAACAAAACAATGAATGACACCGAGAGAAATATAAAAGATATGAATGTAATGATCAACATGCACGATACAGGTATAATTGGTAATGTTTTAGCTTAGCTGAGCTTATAGTTCTCGATCGAATATATATTAAATAAACGGTGTTCTGTCAGAAATATCAAATTTTTATACGATTCCTTTTATAAGATTTTTATTTTATAATAATATAGGTAACTCTTAAGATCTTTACTGGTATAATCTTTATACTTTATGGTCTAGACTACTCTCTGATATTGTGTAATTTTATCCCTATAAATAATAACTGGTCGGAAGATACAATAACATTTTAACTTTCATTAATATCCTTTTAGGTTATCTAATTGTTTTCTGTAAATAAAACAGCAAACAGCAAAAATGGATTTTAAAGATACCCATCTTTTTGAGAGGAAAAAACCCTAAATGTTTATAAATGTAAGGCGCTTAATTCATTTTTGTAAATTACAGAAGCCAAAATGCAGGTAACACGTAGATCTCTTCGACAAGGTAATGTTGCCTTCTATGCCTACATTTCAAAAAACTTTGGAGGAGTCGGTGTGGGTCAAGTTTTTATCTATGATACTCTGGTGACGAATTACGGAAACGCATACAGCCGACACACTGGAGCTTTCACGGCGCCCACCTCAGGAGTTTATGCCTTTTCTTACACCGTCTTTGCTGCCGGTGAACATGTGGCTGGAGAATAAAAGTATACTTTCGTTGTAAAGACACCTATTCATATTGTAAAATCTTTGCATGAATTATTCACTATTAAAAAGTAATGCCTTTATTGCTTCGTTGAACCTATCGTGACGCGGACCTTTATTTTTGCTATACACCAATATATTGCAATTCTGGTGACAGATTTAGAAAAAATTAAAAAGACTTTGAAATCCTGAATCCGCAGTCCTTAAATTACCCAAACTTATGATATATCGTGACCGTTCTACGAAACCTGTTGCAGTTGCATGTCTTAATTTTATACTCTTAACTCTCCCCGTACATATTGTAACTCTTTAATGCGCGAAGGTGAGAAAATAAAAAGAACTTGTGAATTTGAATTAGTTTGGAACCGCTTAAAGGGCTTTCATATCCTTGTGTCTTTTCTAGCCCGGAGCTTTTTAGTATGTAAAAGGTGAAGATAAGAGCGGTTATCGCTCTCAAAAATCTATGGACAATACAAATATGAGACGATGACATAAAACACGGACCCCTGGATATTACAAAGGTTCGATCAGATGCCCGAGAGGAGCAAGCATTCCCTGTTGACCGGTCACAACTGCCGTGAGACTTGTGTATTGATCAAAGTCGGAACTTTCCGTTGTCAGAATTCAGTATTAAACAAGTGTCTGCTTTAGAGTTGCAGAGTAAAGAGCTGATCCTTACATCGCGGGGTCGAATTCAATGCAGGACGTGAAGACCGCTCCCTCGGATGAAACCGAGATCACATGTCGCAGTAGGTGGTTATATACGAAAAAATCCCTCACTGCTAAATGGCCCTAATTGTCGAGTATAGGTATAAATTTGCAGCGCAATCCATTGGCAAATTGTTTCTTCTCCGTACATGAGTGAAAAAATCTCGAGATGCACATCAAACATTAAACAAACATAACTAATGAAAGTCGACGATTGAAAAAGTGATGTCATGCATTTTAGTTACTAAATTGCCTTTATCGTATATAGTCAGTAAAATATTTAAATATGACAGAGATGGACAGATTCTTAGTGCTCTTTATTTCAAGTCTACATGAAAAAAGTCTGAATGAAAACTAAAAAAAGTTATCATTATATATTGATAACAATTAGTCTAGATATACATGTATCTCAATGTCAAACTGAAGGCCATAACAATTTTTGTCGTCTTCTCCTGTACAATTTTTTGAATAAATTTTGTTCATGGGAAAATAAAAACTGGTCAGCTGATAAAGGAGCACAATTTGTGCCCATCGAAATTCCAAGACTCGCATTATTCACATTATTCACAATTACATGGTAAATTGCATTGTATCATTTTGCCATAGCCTTTTGTTCACTTTCCATAAAAATACATGACATGCTATTTTTACAACCACTGATATTTTTATGCATACATCCAGGAGTGACATCTGCTCTGAAGGTTAGCTTTGGGTAGAAGAGTGTTGATTTGATTTTATTCCGGTTTATAGAACCAAAGGAATTAAATTTATTTGTTATATGATTATTAAGATATTTACATCCTGTTTTATTTCATTCAAAATACAGATTATATAAAGGCTCAATATGTTGCAAAGCTAAAATAAACAGATGTTAGTCGCAACAGTTGCATGTCCGGAAAGTGCATAAATATTTTCAAAATGCGCCGTAAAAATAAAAGATCAGATGGACACGCTGGTGAATTATAAATGACGGTCAGTTTAGTCAGGACTATGAAAACGATTTTAGTCTACATTTTCACAATAAGTTTTCTTTAAAGAGTGTTTGTTCTTGTTCTCTGTTCTGTTTTTGCATCGGAGCTAGGGAAGATTAGAAGAAGGGGAATGGAAAGATGACTTGAAACAAAAAGTTTGAGCAATTTTTCCAGTTGATAGAAAGGCTAAAATTGGTAATTAAAATACGTTCTTTAAACAACATAATTTTATGCAATTTGATATGAGAAGTAAAGTTATATAGTTGTAAACAAGCTCAAAATTCCATTTGGAACATTTATATATATTTGAAGGAGAGCAAAAAAACGACCCCAACAATCCTGTAGAGGTGGAATCAAGTGACATTGAGGAGTGAGCATTTTTTGTCTAACAAGGTCACACCCGCCGTGATATATGAAAAAAATTTATATATATATGTCCTATATGATTAGACAAATAGAAAAATCCGTATGTATAATTTCAGTGTGAAAATAACGACCTAACAATTTGTATATATGTAAAACGTAGACAACATTTTAAACGATAGTTTTTTTTTTCTAAGAAGGACTGATTGTACATGTATCAACCGTATAATTTGGGGAAAAGATTAACTTTTATTTATTATATTTTATTATCAACTTATCTGGTAGAATCGGAAAATAAATTAGTTATTGTTTTTATGCGCCCGGATGGATAGATCCGGGCGTATATTGTTTTTGTTCTGTTTGTTTGTCTGTTTATCTGTTTGTTTGTCTGATTATCTGTCTGTCTGTCTATTGTCAACTTCAACCTTCGCCATAAGATTTGAACCATGAGAGATAACAACTTCATATTTGGTATGCTTACTCCACTAATAAAGCTCTTTTAAATGACATCAAGCTCAGTGACCTTGTGACCTTGACTGTGACCTTTATGCAAAAAATAAGACAGAAACTTCATATTTGGTATGCATACTTCAAATGACACCAACGTCGATGACCTGGTGACCTTGACTGTGACCTATATGCTAAAAATATCTTTTTCGAACGTACGCCATAACTTTTAAACCAATAGAAATAGAGACTTCATATTTGGTATGCATACATCACTAGATAAGTTCTTTCAAATGACACCAAGGTCGATGACTTTGTGACCTTGACTGTGATCTATATGCTAAAAATAGCTTTTTCAAACTTTGTTGCCGCCGGGCGCATAGTGTTTCACAAACACATCTTGCTTAAATGATATATTTGAAAGGCGATTGGTTTAAAATGAATCAATGAATGTGCAATTACAGAAAAGTAGAATAAAATTAAAATTTTTTTTTTAATTTTGTTACTCTTAACTTATTCACAAAAAATACTATATTTCCATTTGAAGCTAATGTTATATTTCTTCTTAAAATTAATGTTGGTAAGTTTAAATTTAAAAAAAAAAAAGAAGAAAAAAAAATTGTCATTTTCCGGTAATATCCGAACATAAATATTGCGTCTGTATGTGTGTTAAAGATGGCGGCCAAAACAAATGCAGTGGGATTGAGAAAAATAACAAAACCCGTTATAAGTACTGATGTAATGGGAAACAGGAATGTAGAAATTCGAGCAGTCGGGGCTTGGGTCCAGCCAGCGTATTCCGTCCCAGCAGAAGGAGTGGTATGATTAATTTCTTTTAAATATGATTTCTTTTGGATTTCGTCTGTTCGTGCATGTTCGATCATGCTCCGGGGAAAGCAGTTCAGATTAACATGATTAATATTGAATTTTAATGCAAAAAGTGTAAAATAATTTGAATATGAATTAAATTCCCAACAAATTCTTCTATATTACAGAAATATGACAAATCAGGACAAAGACTGGTTTTATTTTAGTTATGTATTGATTCAAGGAAAATAAAGGCCATGTAGAACAGGGGTGTCTTGATTCACCCAGATGAACCCTAATGGACTTAATTAGCGACGCAAATGACTAATTTAAGACTTAAAGATACCCTAGATTATGAAAAATATATGCAAAAATTTATTTGCAGTTTTAAAAAAAGTTTAAAAAAGAATAAAGTACGTATTTTTTCTTTGAAATATTTTGAATGTTTGTAATAAACATAAAGAACTGATTTTATTCTAAATATATAAATGAATTTTGATTTTGATAATAAGTCTATAGAAGTCCACTTGGTTGTGTCATAGATAGAACGTTCTATCATTAAAATGATATTGTCCTACGGACCCGGTAAGGGCTTGTTTGCACACAGTTTGATTATTCTAACTAGTTGGGTAATTGTTTGGGGCCATTTGGGTAAATCAATGCGCTGGAATAGTCCAATCCACACTTTCAAAAGTTGTTTCCCTTTGCGGGGTCAACCAATAGATCAAAAGGGAAAGAAACGTCATTTCTCCTCTTTATGCTAGCAAATTTGGGCGTGCTGTGATAAATCCATTGTGTTTAATTTTTTTCTTTCAATGTGTGGGTAGCCCCATCTTGGGACAATCAGTACACAAAAGGCAAAGGTTTTTAGAAGTCAAATGATGAAGTTACAAACCTGAAAACTACAAAGGCTACTGTGTGGATTGCATGGTTTTATCCCCAAGATGGCGGCCAAGGGACATAACTTTTGAAAAATGTGGATTGGACTAAAACAGTGCATAAGAAAATTTAAAACAAAATGTTTTGATTGATGAATTAAACATACTGTCACAGTGTGTAGTTAAAAATGACTTTAAATATTTTACAACTGGCAAGAATGTACAAGTGTTGTCTAAGGGTCTTGTCTATCCTGTCCTACTGCAGCTTCTAGAGGTTCACAGTGAAATACTTTTGACAAGATACATAAAGAGTGTAGGGACATTAACCAAGACTAATACCTGTAGGAGTAATCCTGTTTCTGGCTTGGCTTCAAAGTATATCAAAAGTAAATTAAAAAGACACAATTTGTAGTAATATTATTTCCTAATCAGTGATAATAACATTGTTTTCCTAAAATATGTGTCATCACAGTTATCTTCATCAACAGGAATATGATTCAATTCAAATATTTTGAAATATGAAACAGTACGGTACCCTAAATGATATATGCTCAACATTAAATGCTCAGTGATATAAATAGCAAGTGATAGCAATGCAAACAAATTTTCTTGAGAATCCGTAACATCTTAATGATATTTGGGATGCATTATGTATGTCATATTAAACATATTTAAAGGTATAATTTAGCATCATATGAGCTGTGGACAATAATGTTTTATCCCTTGTCTGAACACACATTTTTGAGCATGCATTTGCATAGTTGCCAACCTCCAGCATGTAAAAATCTGGTCATGACCAGATTTGGAAAGTAAAAAATCTTGTCAT